GGGCTGATGGAGCAGGAGCTGTGGTGGTCCCCGGAGCAGGGGAGACAGTTTCACGGGTGGCTATGAGCAGCCTGCTTCGGGAGCTGCAGGGACTGTTTACTCTGTACACACTATGCTCTTGCTCTGCCAGCTCCCATCTGGTTTTATCCCTCCTTCTCTAGCTCCTGTCCTCAAACTGAGCCTGGCTCTGCAGTACAACCTCTGGTATCTGGGGCAGAGTGCTGGTTTGCTCTGTCTGACCAGAGCAGATCCTCACTTTTGCTGCTTTGCAGCAGCACGTTATCTCAGTCCCAATAGCATATTCCCCTCCTAGGAGGGATGCTTGTCACGAATGCACTTTCCTTCCAGCCCTTGCTCCATCAGGCTGAAGTCCTGTGGGGATGAGCACCTCCTGACAGTGCCCATTCTGCATTGTGTGTTCCCCTTCCAGATCCATGTGGTCCACTACAACACCAAGTATGACAGCTTTAAGGAGGCCATGGTCCAGCCAGATGGCCTGGCTGTACTGGGAGCCTTCCTGGAGGTGAGTCCCACAGACCAGCCGGGGTTGAAAAGCAGCAGGAGCAGGATGAGGATGGGACTGGGGTGGGCACAGTTTGGGGAACTGACAAAGGTGCAAATGCTCCTGGGGAGGAGGGAAAGGGCAATCCAGAGGGAAAAGCAACCCTGATAGGAGGAAGGTGTCACCAGGACAGGGTGTCTTTTACAGGGAATGGTACCTCCCTGCTGGCACTGACATCACCAGCATCACTGGCTGGTCTCCACTAAGCCCTTGTCCTTGTCATTACCATGGGGTCTCTGTGTTGCAGATGGGTCCAAGAGACAACCCGTACTATCAGGAACTCCTTGATCATATGCAGCAAATCCAAAGAGAAGGTAAGGCGCTGTCCCACACAGTTCTTGTCTCAGAGGCTGCAGCCCAGCAGGGAAACCTCCTGCACACACAGAGAGAGGCTGCAGCAGGCACGTGCTGTATAGATGGGAGAAGGTGTGCACTGCACAGCTTGTACAGAAATAGCTCTCCAAGGTGCCCTCTGCTCCCACGTGCTTTCCCCTTCCTCCAGGACAATGCTGGCACCGATGGCAGCATTGTGGACCCAGGCACATGCAGTGCCAAGGTGCCCATGATCTCCGTGCTCGTCCTGCCTGTTCTCCGGGGGTTGTGCTGGTTAATTCCCATGGTGTTTATTCTCCCAGGTGAGGAAGTCTGGGTGCCCGGGTTCAACATCGCAAGTCTGCTGCCTGTCAACCTGAAATACTACTACCGCTACAACGGCTCTCTGACCACCCCTCCCTGCTACCAGACGGTGAGGTGGACAGTCTTCAACCAGACTATGATGATCTCTCGTGACCAGGTCTGTCAGGGCGATGAGCCCATGCACCATCCATGCATCCCATCCCAGTCCCCTGGCTCCCAAAGGCAGGATGCCTTTCTCATGCTGCTCTCCTTCCAGATGTTGAGGCTGATAACGAGCCTGAGGAACGATGATGGCAAACCTCTGCAGAGCAATTACCGGCAGATACAGAGCCTCCATGGGAGACTGGTGCTAGCGAGCTTCCAGCCCGCCTTCTTTGCACCAAAGCAGCTGCCTGCTGGTAAGGAGCGTGTTGAGTGTGCTCAGGGTGCAGGGATGCAGAGAGAGGGCAAGGAGCAGGAGTTAAGGCATCCCATCTCTTTAACCAGCATTTGCATGGGTTAGCCTTGCCCACTGATGTTGTGGTCCTGCTGCAACCCTATTTCTGTGCTTCTTGCACCCTGCCCTGGGGAAGATCTAGGAAATATGTTATCCTTAGTTTTGCAGAAATAAGAATACCAGGACTAGGGATGTATGGCAGGTGCTTTTAAGGTCCTTTCCAACCCTAACTATTCTGTGATTTTATGCTCCAGGGCAAGCAGCTAGGTCCTAGCATCCCAGCTAGCTTCTTCATCCCCAAACACAGGAGGCAAACTGGGTAGGAGCTGCAGAACAGGCTTGCAGCAAGCACCCCACTACCAACCCCTGTGGGAAGGGCAGTGCACGGGACCCCTCCTGAAGGCTGTGCTCTGCCCGAGGCATCCCTGTCTGCCCATTCTTGGTTTGTCCTCGAAGGTCTTTCCTGCACTGGTGGTTACCAGCGACAAGTAGAAATTCCTGTTAGCCCTCAGGTGTGACTATCGCTCTGCATCACTGAATTCTTGCCTGTTGCTGCTTTCTGAGGTCATTGGCTTTTTTTCTGTCCAACATCCTGTTCCTTCTCTGAATTGAGGGCATTTCCTATACCTCTTGTCAAGGTGACTAATAGAATCAGCACACAGGCTTGGTCCCAGACCTCGGTAACCACACACCGAGTGCAAGGCACTTCCCTTCACCATCCCACCTGCAGCCAGCTTGCTAATGGCTGCAGGCTTTTAATCACTGTGGTCCTCAGCCTGGCTAGCAGATCCCCATGTGGCACAGCATCAAATGCTTTGCTGAAGGCGGGACAGATAAAAATCTACCGCATTTTCTTTGTCTAGAATATCACTTATCAAAGAAGGATATCGGGTTAGGCTGGCATGCTCTATCTTTGGTAAACGTGCTGGATACTTTATCATGTTTTCCATTTACCTCCAAGCTTTTCTTTTACCACTTTCTTGCAGAAGCTGTTCCAAAGCCTCCAAACACTGAGGCTGGTGCAAGGGGGGAGTTGCCCAGCCCACTGTATTTTACCTCCCTCTTCTTATTTGCTATTTCTGTTCAACAACCTCCACTTTAACAAAGCCTTTGCTTCTGGAATGCCAGGATGCTGCCCCAGCACTCCCGGACGAGATTACTGGTCCCTTGCCTTGTGTGCACAGCATTGTTGGGGTTTTTACCCCACCTCGCAGGGCTGGTAACTGCCTGCTTTAGGCCTGGAGTTAGTGTACACCAAGCTGGAGTGCCATGGGGTCATGTCTGCCTTTGCTTGCCAGCACAAGCACCCACACTTGTTGATCCTTCCTCAGCCACCTCCAGTCCAGCTCCTGCCCTGGTTGCTGGAAGAAGGCAGCAGCTTTCCCACAGCAGCCGCACAGCTGGATCCAGCCTGCAGATAGTGCCATTCTGTGTGATAGCCGACATAATGCAGCTGCTTAAAGCCACGCTTGTCATGGGGGTAAATATTTGCCCTCTCAGGTCCCACACATGTGTAGGGGCCACTGAGCCATCCCTATGCGGGTGCCCTGCCAACAGTGGCTGGCTGCTTCCTCCTAAGGCGCTGCTCACCATCCCACGGCAGGCTGCTGCTCCTTTTAGGGGTCTCGTGGGGGGGTTGCTGCAGTGGTCGGGTGCTGCAGTGCTCAGCTTCCCAGGCCATAGGGGAGTTCATGGTTGGGCTCAGTGAAGCTTTTGTGCGGCCCCGAGATCCTTTTTGTACCCCCTTCCCTCAGTGCCCCTGAGTGGGGTGTCAGCTTACAGCATCTTGAGGGGTTATGGGAGTCTTCATGACCTGAAGCCCTGAAGACTCTGACACTCTCCTCTTGACCCTGCTGTCTCTCTTTCAGGTACTCCCAGCTCAGCTGCAACAGGTAAGTGAAGGGCTGGCACAAAGAGGGGAGGGCAGCTGAGAGGGTCTCTGCCTGGGAAGAGGGGCCCTGACACCCATGTGCTGGGCTGGGGGGTTGGCTGCCATGGTGGGTTTGCAGGGCTGCCCTAGTATCCATGCAGCAGGCTCTCATCCTCTTGTCTTTGTCTCCTTTGCAGAAGAACACTCCAGCTCTTCATTTCAAGCAGGTAAGTGTGCTCAGCTGAGGCTGCTGCTTTTGGGTCCCCTCTGCCTTTGGGCATCAGCCCGGCCCCATGTCTCTTGACCAGCAGCCACTGGGGACCAGCCCAGTGTAATGTGCCTGTGCTTGGCTTGCAGGGGATGTGCTGGCTGTGCTCTTCGGGGTGCTCTTTGCCATCACGGCACTGGCCTTCCTGCTGTACATCCACAAGCAACGCAACCAGAACATGCGGTGAGCAATGGGGAGCTGCAGGAAGAGGGGGCCTACGGGGTAGCATGGATCCTGGGCATGAGTCAAGGGTGATCTATTGGGCAGCAGGATGGGTTAGCAGGGACCCCCTGCCCACTCCAACACTCACCCCTCTTCTAACCCCGTCCAGGCTGGACTCGCCGATCAAATCCAAGGTCATCTACACGGCAGCCACCACTGAGAACACCGCATGAGCCCTGCATCTCTGCGGTGGCCCCCGCCACACTGGCTCAGCCTGTCACCCCAACCTCTCCTCACTCCCACCCCGGAGGTGCTCCAGCACCCCTCGGCTGCTCGGGCTGCCCATACGGACTGGTTTCCTGGGGCAACATTTGGCCCCAGCAGATATTTTTGTTATAAAAAGTATAAAAACCTATTAAAAAAAAAATTAATAGTAAAAAGCAAAACCTTCCCATGGTGTCAGGCCTCTGTGCTGCTGGGCAGGAAAGGGCACTGGCAGAGCTGGACCCACGGTGGACATGGGTGCACATCCCGGCAGAGACAGCATCAGCCTCCATGCCCTGGGCAGAGCTCCAGAGCAAGCAGCGCAGGGCTCCTTGCACAGCCCAGCCCTGCCCTCCATCGCTCTGGGACTTCTTCCTCCTCTTATTTATGCAAAGCATTGAGAAAATATAGTCAACGCCTGGGAGGGCTGAAGAAAGGCAGAGAATGTGGCAGAGCTCCTGCTTCCTTGCTGGCCGGCCCCTACCCAGCTCATCTCTGGTTCTAGCCACCATTCCTGGTGGCTCCAGTGCAGCTGGAGCTAAGCCCCAGGGAGCAACACAGCCATGCCAAAGCAGAGACAAACAGGCCTGAGAGAGGGAGAAAACCTGCAGGTCTCCAGATCCCAAAGTAACCAAACTAGAACCCAGCCCATTAGGACAGACAGAGCAGGAGCAAGACCTCCAGCCAACTGGGATATCCAAAGGCCCGACACGCCCTGGGTCAGTCATACCAGCACAAGGGAATGTACCACTGCTACACTGCTCCCCAGGAGGGCAGTGCTGCCAGCCACACACACCACCACTTCTCTATGGTACTTGATTTTATTGGTATAAAAGCCCACGGTGGATAAAACTGCCTTCTCAGCCCTGAGCCCAATGGCAGTTTCTCCCTCCCAGCCCTGTGGCACAGCATCAGGGCTGGTGCCTGCCTAAAAATCCCCATTGAAGTGCAGGAGAGGGCAACGATCCACTGGAATGGCTCCTTGAACCCCCTCCCTGAGCTGTGCCAGCCCCAGCTGCAGCATTGCATCACCTCCTGAGCCCTCCACCACCCCCCCATGAATGCTGGGCCCTTCAGACACCATATGTTCCCATTCCTCCTCCCATTCTCAGTGCTGTCAGACCCCTCGGATCCCCAGGCATCATCCTCCCTGCACCAGGATGCCAGCTCACTGCAGATACTGCAGTCCAGAGCCTGTGCAGTGGCTGCCAGGGCAGCCAGGCTGGTCAAAGAGGTGGAGAAAGCAGCACTGCAGCCGTCAGCCCTGACCCAGAGCATGGCAGCGCTTTGCAAAGCCCCTTCCTCCACCCTGCAGCGAGGAGGTGATGCGGCCCCCTGAACCACAGGGGACAGCACATCTTCTGCAGCAGTGGGAGAAGCGATGGGTTTCTTTGGGCTCAGGCTTCCAGCAGTCCAAGGTAGCATCTTTCCCAGCAGGCTTACTGGAGCTCTGCCTATGGCAGGGCCAGCAAAGATGGGTTCCCCAAAACTGAGCTGTTCTCTGGGGGCTGCCAAAGCCACGCTGCTCAGCTGGCTGCCACAGCTGGGCCACAGCTGGACCCCAGTGCCAACCCCGCTGGGACCGGCTGGGGTCCCCCAGTCTGGGAGAAAAGGTATTGCAGAGAAGGTGACGGCTGCTCTTGCCACCAGGATGGAGGGGAGGGCAGGGGTGGCTGGGGACGGGAACATCCCGCGGGGCCTCAGGATCCCAGCTGAGGGCTGGCTCCACTCTGTAGACCTGCAGGAACCAAGAGGAGCGGGGGCCAGTTTTGACCAGACTCCCTATCCCATTCCATTCCCCCAGGATAGGCAACAGCCCAACAACAGCCCCAAAACCCAGATTCTCCTCCAGAATGGCAGCCAAGGGGGTAACAGTGGTAAATGCTTCAACCCTTGCAGTGCTCAAGGCCAGGCTGGACAGAGCCTTGGGCAATACAGTATAGAGTGTGAGGTGTCCCTGCCCGTGGCAGGGGGATTGGAACTGGATGATCTTATGGTCTTTTCCAACACAAACTATTCTATAATTCTATGACACCCTTATTGCAGCCCCAGGGACACCCTCTCCCCATCCCAGCATCAGTCCTGGTACCCAGAAGGAGCCGTAGGGTCTCCCACACCCTTTATGGAGCAGGACTTACAGAGCAGAAAGCGCCTCAGGTTCTGGGCAGATCCCCCCGAGAGCATGTAAGCCCAGGCAGCAGCAGTGGCCATCACCAGGTAGGAGGGCACCAGGCTGCCCACGTACAGGGGGTTGCAAAACGTCTGAGGAGAGAGGTAGGAGAGGAGAGGGGTGAGCAGGCAGGAGAGGGCAGGGACAGGATGGGTGATAACCACCTCAGTGGGTGCAGTGGGACAGGGGTTACCAGCTCGAGGATACACAAATCCAACTGCTTCACTAGTGCTGAAGGCTGTTCACCCCCCAGCACAGGGACCACCACGCACCACACCAACCCCAAATACAGATTCCTGTGCAGAGCTTTGCTTCCAGCTACTCACCGAGCCCGAAACAGTGAGGTGCATGATGACAACTGCTGCAATCTCCCACCAGCGCCGATGCTCACAGCCGTGGAAAAAGATGATCCCCCAGAAGGTGTGAAGGAAAATCAGCACCATGGTCATAAAAGCTGCAGGGAGAAGTGTCACCAAAGAACCACCACCCTGACCTGGCCTGAGGCTATGGGTACTGCTGGACCAGAATGGGAGATGCTGAGGCAGACCCCAGGCATGGGACGGATGGCAGAGAGGAGCAGGGAGGGTTACAGCAGACAGAAGGAAGGGCTCGGGCACACAGAGACGTGACAGGGTCTCAGATGAGTACAGGGTGTAGCATGGAGGGATAGCATGAGGAGACTCCAGTCCTCCCACATCTGCTGCCTCTGTGGTGGGGCAGGGATGTGAGGGGAGGGTGCCAGTCACTCACCTGAGGTCAGGAAGTATAGCTGCGAGTCCCCGTGGATGCCCACTGTGCCGGGCCCTAATGAGTCTGCCAGGAGATTGATCATGGAGAAGGCGCCGCTCATGAGCCCAAAGCCCACGCCGGCCACTGCAGGACAGGGACACCATCAGGCTCTCAGTCTCCCAGTGCCACCCCAGAAAAACCTCCCTTTCCCCCAGCACCATGTCCAGCCTGGCCCCACGATCAGGATGCCAGCACTCACCATATGCCATTTGCTGGATGGAAATGGGGGAGCAGCCATCCTCACTGAGAGCCACCAGCCCCTCAATGGCCTTCCTGTGGGATGAGAGCATGCTGGAGCACGCTGCACCACCAGGATGGAGCAGATGGGACCAGGGTCTCAATCTGCACCATCCACCCTCCTGGTAACCCCCCCAACCTGCAGCACCCATCAGAGATCATCTACGTGACCACCCTGAACCACCCAACAAACCACACATGTGAAAACCATAGGAAGCCACATAGATTTTCCACACAAGAATGTGAATGCCAGCCGGTGAACGAGACATGGGGTACAATGCAAGCAGCACCCCCGTATGGACAGCAGTCCCAGTGCAGGCATGGGAGGAGCATGCCTGAAGGGCGTACCTGATACCCGCATTTGTACTCTTACAGGATATATGGAACAAAAAGAAGAGGGTGCATGAAGAGCTCAAAGAGCAGAAAAATGCTCTGGGGAGGGAAACTGGGAGAGGTGAACTTCATAGTTTTTATCAGCTAGAGACGAGGAGGACTCCGAGTGGCTGCTCAGCACAGGGAGTACAGCAGAGCTTGCACAGGGACCCACAGGGCAAATGGAATGTGGTGTTTGTGTTAGAGGCTGCTCCACAGAGCTCTGCCACTCTTTGCCTGCCTGCCTTCAGCAGCCCTGCTGCAGGCAGCTGTGCGAGCCTGCATACCCAGTCCTGGCCTTCCCATAGCCCCTCACCACTGCCCAGCCAGCCAGGAAGGCTGAGGGATATAAGCGGTGCCAGCCTCAGCATCACCTCCCTTGTCTGCCTGCCCAGCTCCAGCCAGGGTCCATCTGAACGCAGGTGCTCACCCAACAGCAGCATAAGCTCCAGAGCTGACAATGCAGGACAGGGTGTTCTCACCCCGCAACAGCACAAGCTCCAGGCTGGTGGTGCCAAGGAGGCTGGGAGCTGCTGAGGCTGCACTGAGACTTTGCCCTGGGTTGGCCAGGGCACAGGGCTGGCAGTGATGTGCCGCTACACAGAGCCCCAAAACCATCCTTGGGCTGTGCCTGCTCACACAAAAACATCCCTAAGAAACAAACAAGACTTGCCAGGAGGCGAGGGCAGATCCCCAACCTCTCTCTGTCCCCACACAGAAAGTGGCCACTTCCCAGTGCCTGGTGTCCTCCCTGGCATCCCCCAGATGCAGGAGCACTGCTGGTGCTACTCACCAGGGCAGTGGGGATGTGACACATCCTGCAGCTGCCCAAACCCACAGCCTCCTGTGCCAAAATCAGGGACACTCTATCAGCCACCTCAGCCCTGGATGCTCCAGACCTTAATGCTACTGTGCTCCACCACCTGAGACCCACTCAAGGTCAACATACCAACAAGGGTACTACCTGCGTGCTCTCAACAGGGACCAAGGTGGCTTAGTGCCATGCTCAGCATCATCCCCAGCCCAGGAGCTCCCAGCCACAATCGGGCACCCAGTATGGCCAGTGGGACCATCGGCAGCTCTGGAGCAGGGTGGGAGATGCCCTTACCTGAGGAGCTTGTAGTAAAGGAAGCGGAAGGCCTCCTGCAGCAGCACAGAGAACATCACCCCAAAGATCAAGAGACCCTTCTGCAATGGCTCATCCTGGGGGTTGCTGGCTTTGACCGCAATAAACCAGATGAGGGAGGAGAGCAGCAGGGACACCAGCCAGAAGAAAGCCCTGCAAGGGAGAGAGCTCCTGCTGGCACCAGTGCTGTTCTGGGACTAGTGTTGATACTGGTGCCATGCCCATCTATGCCTGCACCCCTCTGTGCTGGTGCTGGCATTGGCAGCTTGCTCCAGCCATGCAGAGTCTCCTACCAGTACCAGCACCATCCTGGTTCCAGTGCTGGGCAGGTGGTGCCTACACTGGTACCACTGCTATGCCCCCACTCCTCCTCCACTGGTAACCAGTGCCCCCTTGTGCCCACACCAGTACAAGGTTCATATCCTCACCGGTTCCAGTTGCAGTACCATACTGATCCCACAGTGATACTCGTAACAGTGCCCCTGCTGCACACATGCACTAGTACCACTACCAACACTGCACTTGTACCAGCGCTCCACTGATCCCATGCCATTAGTGCTACCAGTGTCCTCTGCATCATGCCCACATGAGGCGGTGACCACAGTGGTAGAGTACAATACCGGTGCCTCTGTTGTGCAAAGAAGGAATACCAGTACTGGTGTCTGTCATGCCCACAATGGTACCAGTACGAGCATGGATACTTGTGCTGCTGTCACACTCACAAGGGTATGAGCACCAGTACTGGAGCTCCTATTGCAACTATGACCACCAGTAAGAGTACCAGTGCTCCTAATATGCCCATGACTATTCCAGTAAGGGAAACAATAACGGTGCCCTTCTCCTGCAAGCACCAGTATGAGTATGGGTACTGGTCCCTCTGTTGTTCCTCTGCCAGTACCAGTTACGCCCTTGTCTCACCTAGTCTAATAAATGCACTACATCATGCCCATACTGGTACCAGCACTGGCAATGGTACCGGTGACCCGCTCACACCCATACCAGTTCTGGCACCAGCACTGGTAGCAGTACCCCCATCACACTCATACCAGCATACCAGTAACAGCATCAGCACTGGTACCAATGCCTCATCACACAAATACCAGCATCAGCACTGGTACCAGTGCACCCGTCACATCCATACCGGGACCACTACTGATACCAGTTCCCCTGTCACATACATGCCAGCAGCAGGACTGGTACCAGTTCAACTGTCACATCCATACCCAGCACTAGCACTGGTACCAGTGCCTCTGTCACATCCATACCTGGCACCAGCACTGTTACCAGTGCCCCTGTCACATCCATATCTGGTTCCAGCACTGATACCAGTGCCTCCATCACATCCATACCCAGTACCAGCACTGCTACCAGTGCCCCTGAAACATCCATACCCAGTACCAGCACTGGTAGCAGAGCCCCTGTCACACCCATACCCAGTAACAGCACTGCTACCAGTGCCCCTGAAACATCCATACCCAGTACTATCACTTGTACCAGTGCCCCTGTCACATCCATACCCAGTACTAGCACTGGTACCAGTGCCCCTGTAACACCCATACCCAGTACCAGCACTGCTACCAGTGCCCCTGTCACACCCATACCCAGTACCAGAACTGCTACCAGTGCCCCTGTCACGTCCATACGCAGTAACAGTGCTGGTACCAGTGCCTCTGTCACATCCATACCCAGTACTAGTACTGGTACCAGTGCCCCTGTCACGTCCATAACTGGTAGCAGTGCCTCTGTCACATCCATACCTGGTACTAGCACTGGTACCAGTGCCCCTGAAACATCCATACCCGGTACCAGCACTGGTAGCAGAGCCCCTGTCACACCCATACCCAGTACCAGCACTGCTACCAGTGCCCCTGAAACATCCATACCCAGTACTATCACTTGTACCAGTGCCCCTGTCACGTCCATACCCAGTACCAGAACTGCTACCAGTGCCCCTGTCACGTCCATACGCAGTAACAGTGCTGGTACCAGTGCCTCTGTCACATCCATACCCAGTACTAGTACTGGTACCAGTGCCCCTGTCACATCCATACCTGGTACCAGCACTGGTACCAGTGCCCCTGTCATGTCCATACCCGGCACCAGCACTGGTACCAGTGCCCCTGTCATGTCCATACCCGGCACCAGCACTAGTACCAGTTCCCCTGTCACGCCCATACCTGCTACCAGTACCGATACCAGTTCCCCTGTCACATCCATACCCGGTACTAGCACGGGCACCAGTGCCCCTGTCACGTCCATAACTGGTAGCAGTGCCTCTGTCACATCCATACCCGGTACTAGCACTGGTACCAGTGCCCCTGAAACATCCATACCCGGTACCAGCACTGCTACCAGTGCCTCTGTCACATCCATATGCGGTACTAGCACCTCTGTCACATCCATACCCGGTACCAGCACTGATACCAGTGCCCCTGTCACGTCCATACCTGGTACCAGCACTGGTACCAGTGCCCCTGTCACGTCCATACCCAGTACCAGCACTGGTACCAGTGCCCCTGTCACATCCATACCCGATACCAGCACTGGTACCAGTGCCCCTGTCACATCCATACCCAGTACCAGCACTGGTACCAGTGCCCCTGTCACATCCATACTCGATACCAGCACTGGTACCAGTGCCCCTGTCACGTCCATACCCGGTACCAGCACTGCTAACAGT